AAAAAACGTTTGGTTCCATACTTTTTATTCACCTGGTATGTAAATTTGGTCAAGGCTACCATCCTTAGAGACCCTTTAATTGTTTCAATTTACATTGTGATYGAATTTTTTATTTCACTTTTAAGTTGGTAATGAAAAAATGAAACTGATGACACACRGGTCTACCCTCCTGATTTTTACTATACTTACYCTTGTTCTGTTATCTTTGGTCATAAGAAAATCAATTGTTGGTTGAACAGTTACTGTGACTTTGTGGTGGATTTTCGGACTGTTGTTAGCCGTGTCCATGGCGGCACATTCGTAAACACCTTCGTCTTGGGGGTGAATATTTGATATTTCCAGAGAACCGTCTTCGAGGAGTTTCATGTTGGGGGAAGGTGCGACTGCTATTCCAGATTGGAAAAGGATGGGTCCCTTCTTTTCCGAATTTTGATCGGTTACTTTCTTCTTTGTCCAAAGTTGGACGTAATCTAAAATGGATTTTTAATTTGTAGTAAATCGGAAGTGAACTGATTAATAGTGTAACTAGTATTCATATTCTTCTTCAAGAGTAAGCAATATCCTGTGACATCATCCTCTTAGAAGCTTCACAAACAGGAAAAACTGTTACGAATACCAATGAGAAGTACGTTTAATTACAGTAATTATTTTACTGGAAATTGGCACGATTTCTTAGGATTTATTATTGGTGCTATCCGGAAACAAAATCGATTTAAAAAATTCCGTTTTGCTTTTTATTATTTTTATTATAACGAGTAAATCGTCTGGTCCTTTGCGTTTTGTGTAAAATTCTCCCTCTATAGCGAGGATTTTTCTAGAATTAAGGTAGATATAGCAAAATTTTTATTTTGTCTAAGAATTCTGAGAAATTTCGCTTATAACGTGAGTTCCTAGAAGAAATAAAAATCCTCCATTGCGTACTAGATCTTTTTTGGGAATGTTGCTTTTGCGTGATAATGTTCTTATTTTTCTCACTTTTTCAGTCTTGAACGACTTTTTAAGCAGAAAACACGTCGTTTTTCTGTAAATTGTCGTCCTCGAATAGAAAATCATTACCAATAATAAAAGAGTTTGAAAGAGGTAAAAAACAAGCTGTAATCTGCAAAGTAAAAAATCTGTAAAATTAGCGAGTTCTGCACTGGGAACAATCTTAAAGAACAAGGACAAGGAGCCTTCTAGAATAATTGGAAAGTGCAATTAATAAGATGAAAATAAAAATATTTCATTACAGAAAACACACAAAAATTACAGATTTATTTCTTAAATATTGTTTTAAACTTCTTTAACATTATTATTTAATAAATAATTTACATAGTACATGTGTAAAAACTTATTATCCATGACTGTTGTAGCAAAAATCGGTTATAATGAACACATATGTTGGCCCCTTGAGTTCTCGTTATAGAGGGGTTTTACTGTATTTCTTTTGTTGAGATTTGAAATGATAAAAATCCATTTTTTTCTTTGTGCTTAGACAAAAACTGATTGTTCGTAAAGTCATTTATGTAGGCAAATAACATTTAACAAAAACAAGTTTGTTTCAGAGCTTGTTAAGAAAATTTCTTTGTAGACTCAATCCAGAAGAAGAGATCAGCTCTTACGTCTTCTATATTTTTAATATTTGTCAATTGTTGCATAATTATCAAAATTTAAGGTTTTGTTGAGAAAAATTAACATTTAAAATTAAATATCTTTTCATTTTTTTAATTCTAGACATCAAAAGTTTATTTTTTTAGATAGACTATTAATCAGTCTATGAGATGCAGAAATAAAAAATAGGGTATTCCATAAAAAAAAATATTATTTAACTTTTAAGAAACTTTCTACATATTTTTTAACTTTTCGACTACAATACGTTAAAAAAATGTTGTAGTCACAAAGTTCATACTTTCCTCTTTACAGTGGTAATTTTTTTTCCAGCTGTCTTAACTTTTTGTGTAATAGATTTTTAAAAGAGGATGTTTTTGCCAATAACTTAATTCCAAAACCAAGACTAATAGAACACTAATAAAATTAAAAGCTACATTCAAAAATGCCAAGAAATATATGGTGTTTCATTAAAAAAAACGTAAGTTTGTATCGTAACTTAGTTTTAGGCCACCCTGTATAAACAAAAATATTTTCCTGAAATGCGCTCTAGAATATAAATAAAGTCTCCAAAATATCAAAATTTGCACCTGAGTTATAACTGAGCTACAAAAGACTGGAGCTGAGATGAATCACCCTGTATATGTTCTTATTTTTGTATAAATTTATGTATTTTTTAACTTAATTTAACAATTGACTAGTACATATTAAAAATATAATATAAATATTATTTCAACAATTTCAACACCCAACAAATAAATATTGTTGTTTTAATCATCCCTACTTTTTTCTGCATTGCGCCTACAAAAAAAAATTCTAACAAGCTCTAAAACAAATTTGTTTTTGTTAAATGTTATGCATACATAAATAACTTTTCGAACAATCAGTTTTCGAAAAACTGGCGTTCGATAAATATACTGTTCGAACAATTTGCTTTCGAACAACTGGATTTTCGAACAATTTGTTTTCGAACAACTGGCTTCGAACAATTGACCGGACACAGTCCGGACTATCAGGGTTCTACCATAATATGAAATTGAGGAATTAGTCCCCATATTGTAGTTTATTTAAAAAAAAAATTGATTTGGTTTCGAATTTTTTTATAAAACTTTGTTTTTTTTTTGTTTTAGACCAAACTTGAATATTATTTTATAAGTACGTTTATTTTTGTTTTTTTTTTTAATATATGCAATGTGTCCCCGGATAGGTGGTGAATGACTCTTCTAAGAGATAAAAAAA